TTTTCAAAATCACACATGGTCTAGCAACGCTAAATCCCCAAGTGTCGCCAGCTATCTTCGCCACTCGTAGAACAACCCGATCAACCTCATCAAACAAACTGAAATATGTCATCCCTAAATGCAGAACTACCACCTACCAAAAATCTTTCCTCGTAAAAGCGTGCCGAGTTTGGAACTATCTTGCAGATGAACTGAACCTTATACTAAGGATACTAGCATTTCTGTATTTAAATCAGATCTGCTCAAGTATTACTTTACATCACTGAACATTAATTATGATCCTGAAAACTCTCGAACATTTAAGAGTATATGTCTGAAATGTAATTGTATTCGAAGCCTGTTACGTCCAATATCGTGTTGCAGTTGAACTGTAAATAAGATCACACCTGTAACGCATGTATGTGTATATATATGTGTAATGATAGTTTTGTGTCGGGCCCGCAGTAATTGGCTATTCGCTGTTGCGGTCACCCACCCGTGGTCATGTACCTACTGTATTTCATTATGTACGTTTGTTTTTGTCCTGTCATGTAATGTACTGTTTCATCGGCAAAGTTTATAAATTAAAAAAAAAAAAAAATTAACATGCAAAAATTTTTTGTTTTAAATTCTCATTGATTTTTGGTACAAAATTAAAATTAATTAATCAATGTAAAGCGATATAGTTGCTACATGAGGTTTTAAAAACGTCAAAGCAGGGATCAAAAATGTACTTTAAAAATAAATCGGTAAAACTAATGCTCTTGTTTGTATTATAATGGTGCTATAAAGAAGACAGGCGGGCGAGGTATGAGAATGATAATATCATAGAAATAATAGATATAGAATGCCTACTCCTATCTTTTCTCAGTAAAAAATGTGTCTCCACAAAATGGCGGATTTATATAAGGGCGTTTTGGCTTGTCCCAGACTGCTGCGGCAATGAATGCAGCGCGGTTGCAGGGAGTGCGAATTGTTCTTTTCAACAAAGTTTGCAAAAACATTTTATATCAACTGTTTTATAATATAAATGGAGTTCAATAATTTTATTAAACTGACACAGTCAATTACTTTTCATGTTTTTCTACGTTGCTTGAGCTTGAGGCAACGCTTTTGAAACCATAGTTTTCGCCGGACGATTACTTTATAGTGTATCGACAACTAAATATTTTCTGTTTCAAAATCATGAAAACACTTCGTTTATATTGAAGGAAAACAAAACCCGACGAAGAATGAACTATCATTTTGCGATTTTCAGCGTTTTTGTAACTGCACATTTGCTTTGTGCTTTCAAAGACCTTCAAAGAACTTAGTATTTCAAAATGTATTCCCAAACTACAAATTAGACAGCAAGGTAAAAACGTTTTGACAATGAAAACTTAATTTTAGCTGTGTTTAATATACTTTGTAGTTTGCACTCCTATTCAAATTCAACATGGCGGATTTATAAGGGCACGCATGAGAAAAGTGGAAACATGATTCGTGATCAAGTACGCATTTTAGACATTTTATATCTATTAATTCCATGGATAATATACAACAAATAATGGCCTAGAAATTAGTAAGGACTTACAACAACTTTGTTCATCGCTAGCATCTTGACAGTTTGCAATGCCATTACATAACAGTCTTGTATTCACGCATTCTCCTGACCTCTCACACCTGAACTGATCAGTCAGACATTGACAATATGTTTCATCAGAATTATCAGCGCATCTGTTATCTCCATCACAGACCAAACTTCGACTGATACACTCCCCATTATCACAGGGATACTTATCCGACGGACACTTAAAGTCTAAAACATTAAAAATATAATTTGTAGGGAGCTATATTATACTTGGGTTGCAGTCGATGTCACGGCATCCATACATGCATGCTGGACGAACTTTAAATTAACTAAAGAATATCATTAGCGAACACGAGCTCCACCTTTGAATTTACTATACGAGTAAATTCTTAAACACGTCCGAATTTATCATTATGATAAATTCTCGGCACATTTTGAATTTATCAATAGATCTTCAAAAAGTTTTAAAAGAGTTTTAAAAAGCAAAAAATATTTAAAGAGTTAGATTTTCAAAAAAGTTAAAAAGTTTAAAAAGTTAGGATAAGGGTTAGGGGTTATTGGTTAGAGGTTAGTGGTTAGGATCGGGGTTGGGGTTGGGGTTAGGGTTAGTGTTAGGTGCCGCGAATTTATTATTATGATAAATTCAAAATGTGCCGCGAATTTATCATCATGATAAATTCGGACGTGTTTAAGAATTTACGCATATAGTAAATTCAAAGTTGGAGCTCATGCTGCATTAGCAGCTTTGTATTTGGAGGAAACTCCAACATGGACATATAGAGGACAAGCTTCTTCAAGTGAACAAATATTTTAAAATATTTTAAGCAATTATGCTTTCCATGCGTGTTTTTACAAAATAAAACGATATATATCAACCAAATAGTTTATTATAATATCTAGCCATTTTAAGTTAATTTTCGCATTGTTAAAAATGTTTGTTCGGTTTAAAACATCAATAGCTCAGTTATATATCGCACGACAGACTTATTGTAATGCATCAGATTTATGTTAGACCTTTCTGGATACATTAAAATCTATTTGAGTTAAATAGCTCATATGGTTTTCTCGTTTCACCAAATCAAACACTGCAAATTGTTTTCAAAATCTTTACTTTGATATGCTATGAAAATAGCATGAATCTCAATACACCCCGATAATTACGTCACAACGACACTGTTGTCAACTTAGGACCACCTTAAATGGAAAATATTTCAAGTTTTCTTCTCATGGGCTATATAATGCACAGAGAAGCAGAACATCCTTCTTCAACACAGGCATGAAAAATAATTCTTTATTTTGACCAATAAAGGTGGAAATAAGCTTTAACACGTAAGCGAGGCTCCAGGTCATGACCTGGAGCCTCGTTTTCGTGTGAATGCTTATTTCCATATTTATTGTCAAAATCCAAAATTTTTTTCGCGCATGTGTTGAAGAAGGATGTTCTGCATCTCCGTGCATAGCGCATGAGAAAACAACTTGAAATCCTTTCCATTTAAGGTGGTCCTAAGTTGAAAACAGTGTAGTTGTGACGTAATTATCGAAAGGTTGTTATTTCATATACTAATTGAAATTTCCATTACAGTGATGCAATCGCAAATTCCATATGAATTTCAATGAAACGGGGGAAACAACATGCGGTAAGAGTTTGTTACCTGGATCAGCAAAATAAGGATTTACAGTTCCATGACCCAAACACGTTTCTGTCGTGACTAAAACATTTGCTATAGCAACAGTGGTGTTTGGCTCGCTTACTTTGCCATCAAAAATTAACTGAAAAAGGATAACACATCGATAGACAGCAGAAACAAACAGGTAAATAATTATATATTCAAACGAAATACAAGGTGTCAGAAAATACTGCATGTCATCTAACTAAACATCTAACACTTTTCAGGTTCGCAATGCATGTAAATGAATTTATAAACTGTACGTTTCAATTCAAAAAGTTCGAAAGATGCAAAATTTGGGCAATGTTTATATCTGCGGGTCCCTCTTTGTTATGAGCAGAACTGACTCGCAGAACGGACATTACAGCATCTTTGAAGTTTTAAAAATTGGATTTTTAAAGAGAAGTCCCACCTGCCTAATTTTAAACTGTTGGCTAAAGATCTTTATAATGTTAAATTAAAGACTTCGTTTGATGAAAAATTAGCAAATGCAAAGCTAAAGCCTTGGAAGAAAAATAAAAATGCCCCGAGATTCCTGCAGGTTGGTGGGAAACAAACCAGAGCAAAAAATAATGGTGGTGTAAGCTACATATATAACCAATATCGAATTTTTTAAGATTCAATTTTCAAATGATGAATCTGACAGAAACGACTTGATTCGAACACTTTAATTAATTTCACAAAGTACTTCGTATTTTTTACCCTATTTGCACACTTGGATAGGTTAGAATATTGGTGTCACTTTAAGTGACTACAGATAACAAACTGTCGGTTATTTTGATCAGTCAGTGGATTATAACCCGTTGAGCGCCAAAGTACTCCCCTTGTTGTCAGTTGTTGATTAAAATCGTCTAACGTTAGACAGAATAAAGTAAGGCGCAATGGAATTTAATATATATAGGTTAAATAAAATTAGTTAATGAACTCAAATCAACAAACACACTTGTTGTAAACAAGCAATAAAAAGGAACGAAGGAGCAAACAAACAGGAAAAACAAACAAGCAGAAAAAGCAACATAGCTGTCTGACCTACCGCTAATATTTCATTTGGCCGATATGTTATGACACCAGTTCTCCATATGTCGCCATGGTCACCATGTAGGTCCCAAATTAATGTTGTGTCACCAGAGAGGGTTTGAAAAGACAATGATAAAGTATTGTTATTTCCTGTCATTTTGTAAAAAAATTTCATACATACTCCAGTTCTATTGACAATTGAATTGTATGGAATCCACCTGTAGGAAAACCATGACGTCATGTTCTCGATACTGGCCAAAGAGCGCATTTTTCCTGGAAAATATTTAAGTTAGAATCTGTATAAAAGGCGCAACAAAATTTAAGTTAAATACTTTATATTTCTGTCAAATTTCCTGGTTTTTTTTCATTTCTTACCCCATTGTCTGGTTAATGTAACCAGTTAATTATCTGGTTATATTTGAGCAGAACGTCCTCGCCATGCAAAATAACCGTACTATACACTGTGTGGCCAGAGTCCACATTGTATAGTCTATGGGTAGTTTGATTTACCAGCTATAGTACGAAAAAGGTTACAATAGCCAGGACATTTAACCAGGAATTTTAAGGTAAACCAAATAGGGTTATCTAGGGCAACTAGAAAAATTTAACCAAAGCGTTTATTATTGTATCTCTTCATTTTCAAATAGGCACGGTGTAGGCACACCATCCTTATTTTTTTGAAGAAGAAGAATCAAGCGGGTATCGGACTAAAAGGGTTCTTCTAGTTACAGTCGTCAGTGAAGCGGCATTTACGAGATATAAAAAATTTAAAATGATTGACATTCACCGCCATTATTTAATAAATCCTCCACATAACGCCAACCACGATCTTCGACTATGCTATTGTCACTTTGACACAACTTTGATTTCGTAAACCGACACACCGCTACTGCCAAAGCTGAAGGGAGGAAATATTGAAAAATTGGCTGTTTATTATAACATTGTCATTGAACATTTTCACAACATGAATATTCCCAAGTACCTCATTTTCAAAACGAATTATTTAAATGTTCTACTTACGTTTCACATCAATACTCCCAACAAGAATAGTAGAGTTCTCTAATTCTAAATTTAACGCATCATTCAAAATTGATTGGCAATCACCATTTGTTATGTAGCCCATCTAGAGAAAGGACATAGAAATTTATAAAAAACAAACAGGTTTAAAAAATTTCCAATATTTCGGACTCCCACTTACGATTACGATTACAAGCAAATTTACACCTGCATGGATATGATCAATTAAACGCGCTTTACATCACTCATACCAAAACTCAAACCTAACTACATACTTAGCCTACATTATTTTATCTTTACAAAAATTTTGATATTACTTTCTTAACTGTGTTTATCCTAACAACCCTGTTATTGCATGGTTATTAAAATTTTAATCAGCAAATAAATCGCACATATTATGTCACCTTAGACCGAGCCTTAGCTGGAGAACTTTGGAAGACCGGAATTACGAAGGAGGACAGATTCAGACTATATGTCCTTTTGCTGAGCTCACCTGACGACTGAGCTTTAATTCATGCCGATTAGCCTTTTCCGATAAGTGTGACCTCAAATTTATCGCCATGGGGCCGCATTTTATTCCAGACGGAGGCCCAAAAAGCTAGCAGTCCACTCCTGTTCCACGTCAGTCTAACATTGTACACCCATCCAACGATTATACAACGAACAGTAAGTGTATTTGTCTCGATGTTGTAACTTAAAATCCTCATTGTTGACAAAAGACCCATATATATATATACCTCCACATGCATGCATGATTCGTTTGAAACTTATTATACACCTACTTTTGGATTGTAACTCGTCTAAACTCGCTGCGAGATAATGCGAGTTTAGGCGATTTAAGAAAATCTTATGCAGCCACTTTTTGATTGCATGCAAGTTTAAAATTTTAAACTATTTCGTCAAATGCTTAGATCAACTTAATATGCAATCTGATATGTTGGTTTCAACTGTTTCATGAAACCAAACTGATCAGAATGCATGATTTTAAGCTTGAATATCATTTAAATGGAGACTCTATTTCTCAAAAGTGTAAATAACCATTGAAATGGGCAATTTGCATACCAAGTTAAGTTGGTCTCATGTTAAAAACCCAAGGCTTGCTTTTGCATCTAATGACGCTAATATAGCGCTGAAAGAAATTAAACTTACATGCACAGGTTGTGATCCAGGCAGGGTGAACCATGTCTTTAACTGAAGTGATATCTTATCTGTTTGAGCAATACTTTGACTAGAAGTCACTATACACTGTCTGCGTCCAGCAAAAGTAATATATATCGCCAGGGGGCAATCACCACAATATATTCCCAAACACTTGATACTGTAGTATCCTGCGATACAAAATAGAAACAGTTTCAATCTCTAAATTTTAAAATCACATTTAAAAGCAACATTGTGGCTGTTTTAAATAATAATATGATTTCCCATTATTTGCGGGCTTCTGTATAATTTGTGCCAAACTATAGCTGAAAATGGCCATCTTCAGACGTATGGATGAATTGTGAGAGTAGTATATATACGTGAGAGTAGTATGTATACGAGATACGTAACGATGAATCCAGAAAAAATAGAATGTATTTATTTGACAACTATATCTATTATGTTTCTTTGCTAAGTGCATTCAAGTTTAGTCGTCTTGGTGTCTATACTAGACGAAATAAACGTCTATAAGATGAAAATATAAAACGTATGTTTTAACATATGCTTTAACATTAAAAGTGTGCCGTTTCGAAGCATATAGCTACGGAGTATCATATGGACAAATAACGCACTTAACGACTGCATGAACGGACGTTTTGGTCGTCTGAGACGTTTAATTCGTCAGGTAAATAAATGCCAGACGATTACTGACATTACTGAACTTAGATGCACTTAACCATGAAACATGTATATTGATGATGGTTACCAAATCAATTAATTAAAATATTTTATATTTATTGCTTTCACATTCCAGTATAGTTTCAAAGTGTTCACTGTTCATGTCGTATTTATGTTGGCTGCACTTAACGTCTTAACACAAGACGTTTAAATTTGTTCAGACGTTTAAAGACGTCTTCTAATATAAATACTTGCATCATACACGAAGACCTCGAGTTGTGTCCTTCGCTACTTTTACTGTCACTACAAGTTCAAGAAATACCTGTTACATTTAGTGGATAGCCTAGAAACACGCTGCCAACGGTGCTATTGTCAACAGACAATTTCACTTCAATTTCACCTGTATATGGTTTAAAAAATATAGTCAAGTCATAATAATAATAATGCGATCCAACACAACACAACACAACACAACACAACACAACACAACACAACACAACACAACACAACACAACACAGCGCAGCACAGCACAGACCACCACGGTTCAGCTAAATTCATGATCAATACGATATTTTTATACTAGCTTCGTGCAGTGTCGCTAAAGGAACGTGTCAGCACAGCGAACCTTTGAGCAATCTTAATTTACCACAAGCAAATAATAAAAAAATCGTACAAAAGGAGAAACCATATATTAAGAATATGTTGATTATTATGTGAGTATATATAAAGTGAATTCGAAAGGTTGACAATGACAGGCTACAACGGTACAGAGAGCAACACGGATGCGAAATCTATATAGTTTCAAATAAAAATTTTTACTATTTATTTCTTCATGTCTTGCTATATAATTCAAATCAACTGGTTTGTCTTTAGTATATTTAGCCTTAAGGTGGCTCAATACAGTTTTTAAAAAAATTGAAATTCACTATTTTGTCGATTTAGATGCCTATTTTTGGACAATTATTACTTGTTGATAAATAAAGGTACCTTACTAAGGGACCGGTCATTATTTATGGAAGGGGGGAGGGGAATTTTTTCTTTTCTAAATTTTTAAAATTGAAAGCCCCCCCTTAAAAGAGCAGAAATTTAATGATGACTCCCCCCTACATATTAGAATATTTTTCTTTGACCCCCCCCCCATTTTCATTTTTACTCGACAAATGGTGATACCCAGGCGTTATAATGTTAATTATTAATTAAATAAGAATATGGAGCTGACAAGATATTAACGTCGACCAAAAATATACATTAGCAGAAAATTATAATTAAAAGAAGGGTATTTTCATATATAACTCTAAAATCAGGTTTCCATTTGGTCTGGGCGATTTAACCATGTTTAACGGCAGAGAATTAATATTAGTGTTTGGAGCCAGGTGCCGTTTGTGGTCCAAGGCTGTAACTAGATTTGATGGCACGAAGTATTGCCATAGCAGCTGCGTAGCAATGAGAGTAACAATCAGTAATATTAGCAGCAAAAGGAGATAGCCATGACAATTCTGGACATTCTCCCAAGACATACCTACGGCACCAATCACACTGACAAGTCAGTGGAAACGAAATATAATGTATAGTGGTCTATACATCCTATTTTATGTGAAATTAAAAATTATATAAAATAAAATGACATACTACCACTGTACCAGATAAAATCCTCTAGAATAAACATGGCCACATGGGTGGGTGGGTAGGGAAAAGGTATCTAAGCGCTATAAACTTGCGGCAGCTGGGCAAAGCATACAATGGCAGAATGAATACCCAGACCAAAGCACTGATCACAAGGCGCGAAACAACACCCTTTAATCGATATGACGTCACAGACTCCCCTCAGTGGATGTGGCCTGCATAATACATTCGCCGTTAACCTTGCTTAAATGTATTTAACCACATCAAGATAGCTGATGTAATAATACATTGTCAATTTATCTCTGCAATCAGTAAAGACTGATTTGCATACAGCACACAGAAGACAAGATAAATCCTGACTATTTCACATCAGTGACCATGATTTAGTCGCAATTACAACCAAATGGATACCATGCAAATTCCTTCAAATTTAATTGCAACCCCCCCCCTCATTTTCTTGAAAAAATTTAATAGCCCCCCTTCTAGTAATTTATTTATACATATGGCCCCCCTCATTTTTTCCCTCCCCCCTTCCATAAATAATGACCGGTCCCTAAAGCCTGGCGCACACGATGCGATTTTAGTCGGCCGATAAAAATCGTTTGACATACCGATATACATCGGTATACTCCGCACACGATTGAACTGTAGCCGCCATGTTGCCAAATAAATACAAGCACGTGATCACAGTATGAAATCTGATTGGTCATACTTAAAATTCCACCGATAAAAATCGTATAATATCAAAACGTTTTGATGTTGTCCGATTCATCGAGCAACAAAAATCGGTTAAAAATGACACCGCACAAACAACGATTTTGTTAGTTTTAGTCAAACGATTTTTGTCGGCCGACTAAAATCGCATCGTATGCGCCAGGCTTTATATAAAGCAACATCTAAACAGTTTGAATTTTTGCACAAAGTTACGCAACAGTCGTTGCTATGGCAACAATGACGTTTCAAGATGGCGGAAATTTTGGCTCTAAAGTAATTTAACTCGTAAACGCAATCGGTAACCCCGGAATTTTATTTTTAAAAGTGATTTCTCTTAGTATAATCAATAATTTTAAAATTTAAAACATTCTGTGAAGCCAAAAAAAATTATTATGAATAATCACCTTTACGTAATTTTAAAAAAAATTGGCTCCACAGAATTTTTTAAATTGTCAAAATAATTGATTATGCTAAGGGAATCATTTTTTAAAATAAAGTCCGATGTCATTTACAAGTTATAAACTAACTTAAAGCCAAAATATCCGCCATCGTGAAACGTCATTGTTGCCATAGCATGAATAGCAACAGCAGTTGCGTAACTTTTGTGCAAAAATTCAAACTCTTTAGATATTGTTTTATATATAAGTAAGGTACCTTTTGTTTATCAACAAGTAATAATTGTCCAAAAATACGCATCTAAATCGTAAATTTTCCATTATTTTAAAAGGTGTATTGAGCGGCCTAAAGTGTTTTCGTGATTTAGTGTTTTTAGTGTTTTCTTTCGTGTTTTTAGAGTTTTTTTTAAATTAAACACCTTAAGTGTTTTCGTGATAATAATAAAGTGGGTTTATTCGCAAAAAATGCAATAAAACCTCCGACGTCGCGGGGACTTCGATCTCTAATTTTCGACGTGCCATGTGTTAGAAAAATTGTCCGATCAATCAAAACGCTAGATCAGTAGATCTTTCGAACAGTTCATTGCCGTAGAAATGAACAATTATTGGAATGGTTTGAGCAGGCTATCCAGAAATTTTTCAGACAGAGGTCAATGTTATAAACGCAAGCCAAATGCTGAGGCGGCGACGCAAATTTTTTTTCCGTAGACAGTCGGACTCCTCATTGATAGTCGGACGCATCATTGACCCGCGCCCTTAAACAAAATATTCAGCGGATACTCTTCTTATTAGATGCGCCTTTCCTGTGTGTCTTGCGCACGCAATTGGTGATTTCAAAATCAGTATTGCTTGGTTGAAATGTCAAAATCTGAACAGGACACATTGTGGCTTCACATCTTGTGTGGTGAAGATATCTGACATATTTTATTAAGTTATATTCGCCATTCCCAATTTCCCACTTGCTTTTCTTTGCTTTTGTAACTGTTTTTTGTAACTCTTTTCGGAGCGATTGCAGAATACCCGTCCACTTTTTAAGCCATGCCTTTCAAACATCATGGATACGATGTATTAATACATCTATATTTATTCTCAATAGATTAATAATTGGATTGATAGATTAAAATCCCATGGTGGTAGCTAAGAGGCATACAGTGACTTATAGCATTAATAGCTTAAATTGTCATGATAGTGTTAATTTAAAGGTAACTCTATATTCTACTGGATACGCGGATACGCAGTCAAATTTGAGAACGAGGCATGCAGTTAGATTAGCATTAGATCAAATTTTCATGCTACAGGTAGCTCTATATTTTAGTGGATACGCGGATACGCAGTCAAGTAGTTATTTTGAGATTAAGGCGACAGTTAGTTAGCATTAATAAATTAAATTCTCGTGCTATACAGAACTTAAATGTGGTGTAATATGTAAATATGTTCCTCACAACCGGACATTGCAAGTGACAAATTATGATTAATTAGCGTGGCTGGGAGAAAAAGTTTTATATTATAAAGCACACTAAGCATAATATTAAACATTAAAAGTCTTGCATGATATTTCCTTTATACAATTATAGCACAATTCGTAATATTGTCTTAGTAATTAGTGTGTGTATATTAGAACGATGCAATAAGATCTGGTATATATGTATCCAGTAAAATAGTGGCCGGGCTACATGATATGATATTACTAGTGGAAGGGTATTCTGCAATACTTCTATTTGTGGAAAGTGGACTTGATGGTCGCTTTGAATCTTCCAGTATTTCCTTGCACGCTAGTTATCTTATCCTGATTCTCTTCAAATGGGATGATATATAGTTTTAACTCGTAATAACAGTTCTGGAGTATTTTCGGAACCAGAAAAAACAAGTTTGTAGATTTACTATGGCATCGCGAAGCAAATCGTTCATCTTTCTACACGTGGTTGAAGAAGAACAACGTGGAGTGATGGATATATGGTGCACTAGTGGGTTACGAAGGGATCCATCGATAACGCGCGGAGGCCTGGACGCTAGTCAATGATTCGTCCGACTATCAATGAGGAGTCCGACTGTCTACGGAAATTTGCGGCGGCGACGTCGAATAATTCTGGATATCATCCGAGAACTGACTCGTTTTGAAATAATTGTTTTATTATCCACACTAACATGACACTAACAAAAATTGAGTCTATGTATTCTTTGAAAATCTGCCTTGCCACTTTTGTAGGTTTTTAGTGGTTTTCGAGTGGAAAGATTGTCGATAATTTCTGGATATTAACTCAATTTCTCCGGTTCAATTTGTAATTTCAAACAAAATACCGCTGGAATATTTCGGGATGCGTTCAATAGCCTCCACGGATACTGCTTTCGCTGAAAAATAGCGCGGGCACCGAGAAACAGCAAGGAATTATCCGCAGGCTTTTAATTTAGGCAATGAGAAAACGAGAATAAAGCACAACGAATAATAAATAATATCATATACATATACTGCGTACAAATACAACTAAATACAATATACAGTTCATTACATATACGCCTTTAGATAAAGCGAAATGCAACATTTTTATACCTGGTAAAACCCAGAAGAGATTCGTTTTTTCAACAGTGTGCCAGTATGATCCATTCTTACGCTCAATGGTAAATTTTAAAGTATCACTCCGCTCAGTAAACGTTGTTGTCAACTTTACAAAATAAAACTTGCAGGCTTCTAGCATTATTGTTGATGACTTTGTTTTCCTGGCGTACCTAAAGAAGACACAATTTCTGATTAGGATTTACATCCGCACAGTTGTGCCTATTTGCCCAAAATCTCTGTCATACAGATTTAACAACGAAATACAATAAAACTGAAACCAGCCTATCGATAAAAAGGTAACAACAGCAACTCACCGTGTACTAAAGGATAAGCCGAAGAAACCTTTAGAAGCATAAAACTTTTTTCCTCTTTCTAGTGATGATGTCATTAGAATGTCTTTTTTATCTCTTTGTTGCGTGACCAGTAACTCTGCATTCACACTACCATGCAGTGTAAACTTATACATACCATCATATGGAGCCTGTAAGGAATTCAAAAATTGTATGCTGATTGTTCGCAAATATACCACGTATATTTATTTGGCAAATATATACAGTGAAATGAATAAAACTGGAACGCTACCTCCAACCCGAAATTTGAAGACAAACTTTGAAAGTCAGTCTCAGTCTTTTCATGCATGCGATGAGCGCGATCAGATCTTTCTATTAATGCATGCAATTATTCAGGTAAAACTCTCTAGAAAACTTTCTTTTTAGGGTTTTTTCTAATAATTGTTTACCCGAGGGAATATCGCGAGGCATAAACACGACGGTCTTGACTCCAGACACGCGTATAGAAGTAAAAAGATGTAGGCAGTTTATCTGGAGGTAGCATTCCAGATATATTCATTTCACTGAATAAATATACGCGGTGTTTCCACCACGCGGTTGAGCAAAATGGACTTGGGACATTTCAGGACAAATTCCTGTTAAAACATGGGTGAAACCCTTATTTTTGGACCAATATCTGTAAAATTTAGGTCTATAAATTCTATTCGATTCCCTCTGGAAGCCCTGTAAGTTACTTAATTACTCTACATTCTATCATTTAAAATCTTTGATTGCCCTGCCAATCCAGATGATTTGCCCTGCCAATCCAGATGATTCGCCCTGCCAATCCAGATGATTCGTACTTTGGGGGGTTGTCACACCCCAACAACAACGGGGTACAACTATAAATATGTTTGAACAACAACGGCGTACAACTACAAATATGCTCGAGGGAATACAATTTAAATTGCGTTTGTCTCAGAATAAAATTCTGCTGTTAATGATCACGTTTTCATTGACGTTGTGCAGGCCTATCACGGGTAGGAATTAAAGCCTAAATCATTCATTTAGAGTATCAAGTCAAACCCTCTCCATTGTCTTTTTTCCTTACTTGTATTAAAATTCGCGTCGTACTCATTTTCGCGCAGCTTTAAATTCGCGCGATCTAATTTCGCGCACCTTGTTGAGACTTCGCGCAGCTTTAAATTCGCGCAAGTAATTTTCCGTGTTCGTTCTTTTTGGTTTGTTTAACAATTAAAGCATTTATAATGAGTATTTTTATCAACAAATACTTCAATATTTGTCAAAATTAAATAAAAAAGCGATTAGGTGGCCTCAAAAAATTTTCATGCAATGTAAGCAAAATTCAACTAATTAATAAAGCGTAAGTTCAAAATACCAACAAGAACTAAAAAATTATTGTATGGTTCTCATTTGCCTAATACAATAACATACTGCAAATAGTAATGTAAATCAGTTAATAACTCAAATGATTTGCATTACTAACAATGAGTGTCTCATATATATTACACCACGAAGCTTTTCGCGCGGATTATATTTCGTGCAGTAGCCTACTAAAATTCGCGCACCCAGCGCTGCGCGAATTTTAATTAATACAAGTGAGCTATATGGTTAGAATCTCGGCGAATGCCTCGTGTTTAACACATTTTTCCGTTTTTCATAACTGTATAATCGGCTAGTGCTTGTATTTGACATATTACATAACATACCAAAACATAGGCTTTTAATTCCTGCTCTGGGTCATTTCCGTATGAACTTGAAAAACTGAATGATGGTGCAAAATCAAAGTAGCCATATTCCATGTAATAAAACCGGCGGTACAAAAATGTTCTCATAACACCCAGCATATCATTCAAGGAACCTGCAACGTTAGAAAAAAAGAATTAACAAAGATTTGAGGTTGAGCACAATATGAAGTATTGTCAAGTCCGAAGTTTGTGTTGTTAATGAAGCCGAAGATTGAAGTTGCGGATAACACCAACTGAGGGCTTGACAATTTTTCATATCTTGCGAAAATCGAATTCAACAATTGTTTTATTATTTTTTTATAAAGATGAGAAAGACATCCGCACCTGTGACCGGGTTCAATTCATCGAAATAATGACCATTTATAATTTTTACAATTTGCAGACTTTAAAAATGTTTAAACACATTTCGTGGCTGTTTTCGTTGATATTTCTTGTTTACATTTTAAAAGCCTGCAAACACGGCCGAAGGCGGCGCCATATTGTTTTGGTCGTGTTTCTACCTTGCGCATATTGCTGGATTTACGAGTTTCAAATTAAACATATATGGTAAATAATAGATTACCTGCGGCATATACGTCTACTTCACAAAGCTGCAAATACTCCCCTTCTTTGCTTTCAATCATTACATAACGAGCTAATAATGGTGGCTCGCAAATTAATATATTTTCCGAGGTTCCATCAATCTCTAAGTCTTTCGCAAAGTTTGGTAATGTGCCATCGTCTCGCAAGCCGACAGTAATCAAAGGCTTTTCGGCGAAAATGGGCAATCTGATCTTCACTGAATATATTTTAGCTGGTTCGTCAAGGATAATTTTCCACCAAGAATTTTGGGATCGCTAAAATACGATTGAATATAGTAAGAATTTATGATAACATCACCACTTTAAAAGTGAAAGATTTAAATATTCTATTATGTACGGCCGTCTTGGCCTGAAGGGCTTAAATGTAAAAGAAAATTTAGTAAGTCCCTCCCTATAGTATGCAGCCTATGCATGTGAGGCCTACTCTGTGGTGGTAACTCGCCTAAAATCGCATTAAATCGCGGGTTAAAATTGACCGAAGTTCTCTTAAATTTCCTAAAATCGCATTAAATCGGCAACAGGAAAGCACTAAGAATATCGCCTGAATTGCCAAAACTCGCAACAATATTATATGTACTAGTACTTTTCGTTGTTTCTTTGCACATTTAGTCTTATTCTATAACGTACCTTAATTTCATTAATTGCTGCTACTTTGCTGGCAAATTCGTGTAACCCAGCTGTTTTGCAATCAAAAGTGGCGCAACCTGGTGTGCCTCAAGGAAGTATCCTAGGACCTGTTGTTTTTCCAATTTTGATCAACGACCTTCCCGATATATTAATTACCAGACGAGACTTGGACGCAGACGAAACTAAGGTTTACAAATCCATAGAAGGGAAAAGTTTCAAGAAATTATAAAAAAATAAACAGGTGTGCCAATAAATCTGTGTCTTCAGTGAACTGAAGTTCACCGAAACGTGGTGGAGTTTCATCAGCAAGTCATATAAAATCAAAACAAGCACAAAACGTAGCCTTGTTTCACTCTTCAACATCATAATCAAACACAACTTAGAGTTTTCCTTAATACTACGGATAAAACGCAAAAATTAGTTGCGATTAGCCGAGGAATGCAGCTTTGATCTCTGGCTTCGATCTATAGCGTGGAAAGAATGCGAAAAGGCGAGAAAGTTTCATGCACAGCTCAACATCATAGCTATCAACAACTTAGCGCGCTAGGAAATGCACTGTACTTCCGACGAAAGTTGCCAGTGAAATATAGACTAGATTCCAGTTCATTTCGCGGTCAAATTCGAGATGGCGGTCAATGTGAAATTTCAGAATTTAGCCCCTAGTGTTGCGAACTTTGAGGGAGTGAAAATATTTAATGTTCGATCGTAATTAAAATAAAATATAAAGAAACTGCGCAGTTTTCAGCTTTGCAAGCGTGGCAAGAAGTGAGTTCTTAATTAATCAGTGTAGACAAATTTATAGAGTCGTTTAAATTGAAAGTAGCAGATGGGAGGCAGCAAAATCTGTATTACAAGCAACTTTTGAGTGGTCGAACATTACCTATCAATTTAACAGCACGATTAAAGTAAGCCAACGAAATAATGATGAAATAAAGCAAGAACTGCGTGAAAATCTGATTTATGAAATAATCCGGTTTTTCAGTCAGATGTTACATTTCGCGTTGAGACAATACCACATTAAATAAAGAATATATACCTTCGTTGGCTGTAGTGTTAAACTGCAAGTGTAATAAAGTCCATCTACTGCCAATTCTGAAGAGAATTCAGGCGAGGTGCTTGATTGATTTGGCCAAGAGTTATACGCAAGATTTTCTGTAGTGAGAATTTGAAAAGAAAAAATGTACACAGCTGTTTTGATAAATATCGCAGGGTGTATGGTTTTACATCCTTATGGTACTCCACCAGAAAATGTTTGGAACATCCCCCCCCCCCACCCCTCCGTTTTTGTACATACAGAAGACTTCGTTACGAAGAAAATTTCGACAGTGTCGACGTAAGCCTAACTGTATTTGGTGCTGATGGATGCTTGTGATACGATCTTTAACAGCACCGAACGTTCCGAACTTAGGCTGACAAGAGGCATTGCCTCCGAATTCGCCCTATTTTAGGATTTGTCGGGAAGACCACCTGCAGGGTCGTAGCAACCGGGGTGTAAGTGTGTTTGCGGGGGGGGGGGGCGATTGGGGTTGGGGAGTAACACCCACCTCCCACTTGAAATAGGTAACAGCCTTAACAAATCATACAAATGATAACACAATTAACAGATCTTATCCTTTAAAACCTCGCAAATAATTATCAAACGCGCCTACCTCCTCGTTTCTCGCACATATGATGCTGGCTGGGCACATTGCCATCTTTGAGCACGAACTTATTTCCTTCCCACGTTAAATAGGCGTACGCATTTTTAGAATCTATATCCAAGGTACGCTCGCTGTTATTATATACTCGTCCATCATTCCAGATCCATTGTCGATCTTTCTTCGACAGCCCCACTGTAATCTATCAAAAATCATACACGATCAGAGCATGTCGCATGCAATATGGAACTATTTATAGTCTGTAAAGATATGATGGTTTGGAAGCCGAATAAATTATCGAAGCGTGCGCGCCAGCAGGACATTATAGGGATCTGAAGATAACTAACCTGTGTGATTCCGACACTTCTAGCTTTGATATTATCTAGATATTTAGCTAGGCGTGTCATGCCAGTTTCATCAAGTGAAGCTAGAGTCCCGAAAGTCCGTGAACAGCGATTTTCTGCATATGTAGGGTAGCTTCCACCGCACATCAGCCAAAGACATTTGTTCATTATGTCAAAGTACCCAGGAGGACAATTCCCATTATCTAAAGTAAATGCATATTGTAAATGCATATCGTTTAAACGCTTCAGTTCAGTTTTTGAGAACAAAGTAAGCATGAATGTACGTAATTAAATATAAGTGAAGGTGTGCTAATTATCCTCATATTCACAGTCGCCTGAGAACTAAGCTGAATTGGGAAGAACGAAGCTCAAGTCTGATCGAGTTGAAGGCTTTCTTAGGGCGTATCTGGCTGCCAATCCTATGATTCATGTGAGTCCGATCAAGGAGCACAGCTACGGTGGAAGGGTCAATTAGGGGCTATAATCCAATTCCACCTTGTCAACATTCCCTGCGAGAGGAAACCGTAGTGCCCGGAGGAAAGCCACGACTTTCAGTGGAGTGTTGACAGACTCTTTCACATGAATATATTGAGTCCTGCATAAGAATGTTGAAAACGAGAATCTCACGATTGAGAACCGAGAATCGAGAACCCACGATCTTAGAGGTGAAAGGCGCTTGCTCTGACGATTGCGCCACCGAAACCTCAGCATTATATTTTCTCCAATGATGAAGTTTCTGTGTATGGTATTTTTGTCACGAAAGTTGTTTACAGGACACGTTTTGTTCAAATTTACTCCCTATCTCCTCAAAAAAACGCTTAACATCTACCAGACCAGGTGCTCTTTGCGCAAGCCCTTCGTGTTCGCTATGTAGTTTAAGATGAGATCAGTTGTTCAATCAATGAGCAACAACTTTTTACAAGTTCGCAACCATTTGGTAAACCTTTATTATTGTAGAAGCAAAATTTCCACATTTGTGGTACAATTTTCTATTTGAATCAAATTTGGTGTAAAACCCAATTTCGACAATTTCAATTTCGCTTCTAACTCATCAGAATTCTCGCTATACCTTGATGATTTTGATGTCTTTTTACGTACACTACGTCGACATATTCTGTCCAGTTTCCAGCGAGAGGAGTTGCACTGAACTCCGAGATATACTCGCCATACTTGTCATCTTCTATACTATAATATATTGCTGAACTGTTCGCCTGCGAGGTCTTGCTCACATAAAAATATCCAATTAGATCATCCAAAACAGCGTCCATATTACTAATTAAGGACGTGTGATATGAACTTGAGAATAAATACATAGGTATTGGATAATCTTTGCTTGGAATAGTGCGGGCAGTGAAGTGTGATGTTGGATAATTGAGATCACAGTTTACGCCATTTTTAGAAACTGTATATTCCTTTGGCGATGACTTCTTGCTGGAGACGAAAAACGTCTTTACATCTTGAAGAAAAGAAAAAATTATATATGATTGCTCCTGAAGAAAAGTGGGGGCTTGGGGGATCCCCCCATTCTTCCCACTGTTACGTCCCTGCTTCCCGCGTACTCAATAACTCGATTGAACACGCCAAATGATGAAAAAATTGAACAGTGTACTCACCACTATTACTATTACAATTGCCAATTTCTGATTTGATGTTAAAATTTGCAAAATAGACCTCACACTCCACGTGGTGTATTTCCACCTATAAATATTCAAAAAGAACTTGCACTAGGTATTTATACGATACGTCTCTGCTTCATACTCAAAACCAAAACTCTATTAACTAAGTCTTGACCAACATTTCCCCTTAATTAAATCGTCTGGCAAAAGGGAAAGCCAGATTTGTTAGTGAAGAGCATTGGAACACATTCCAGCTTAATGCGTTAGGCTGCGTGAGCAGATTGAGGCCAGCTAAACGACTTCCAAAAATGCTGCTTCATTACGTCAATTCACTTTAATTAACTTATATTAGCTAAACCACTTGCAAAAATGCTTCTTTTTTATGTCAATTCATTTTAGTTAATTTATATTAGCTAAACCACTTGCAAAAATCGTCTTTATTAGGCCTACGTCAATTCACTTTATTTAATTTCAAATTAACTAAAATACTTTTATTGATACTGGAGAATTCTATGCTATATAGACCTATTGCTCATATCATTTTCTAACACATTAATTAAGCTGCAATATGTTCCAATGCTCTCCACTCTGTTATCGGATTTTCCCCAAAGCCAGACGATTTTAATCGTTTTAAGGTGGCTCAATACAGTTTTTGAAATATGACAAAATTGTGATTTAGATTTAATTTTTTGAAGAGATTTCTTGTTAGAAGACAAAAATTGTACCACATATATTGAGCAATTTTCTAGGAGTTGAAAATTGTTCACAGAAATGACGTCATCACCGTTGCTATGGTAACAATGACGTTTCAATATGGCCGACATTTTACGTTTTAACACATTTTACTCGAAAAAAAGGCCGGTTACCCCCATTTTTTATTTCGTCAAACGTTTTCATTCAGAAAAATGAATAATGTGAACAAGTTTAAAAAATTCTGTAGATCCAAAAATATTTATCACGATAAATGACGTTTTTTAATTTTTTAAATTTCTGATCTATAGAATTTTTTTAACTTGTTCATATCATTCATTTTTCTAAAAGAAAACGTTTCACGAAATAAAAAATGGGGGTAACCGGCCTTTTTTTCGATTAAAATGTGTTAACAGTTAAAATGTCGGCCATATTGAAACGACATTGTTACCATAGCAACGGTAATGACGTCATATTTGTGAACCATTTGCAACTCTTAGAAGCTTGCTCATTATATGTGGTACAATTTTTGTCTTCTAACAAAGAAACCTCTCTTCAAAAAATTAAATCTAAATCACGATTTTGTCATATTTTAAAAACTGTATTGAGCCACCTTAAGTGTTGGTTCCAGTTCCTTAATATTGGTCCACTGTTACCACAAAAAAATCTAATTACACTAAACTAGTCTTTACTGAAAGAAGTCCCAAGAAGTCAAATACCTGAATCAGACTCAAATAAAATTTAAACAAAAACACGAGTGAGTTACACGACTCACCCGATCAAAAGCGCTTTCATGATCTAACAAAATATTGATTATGTGCCATCTTCCTTGTTCATAATAAACATTTTCAATACGGAATGGAAGCAATTCACTATCACTTGCATTTCTGACAAAAACAAGCAATCTGATATCCTTCCTATAACTGTCAGAGCTTACAAAATACTGAAACGAAAAGCAAGCTTTGCGTTGGAAGATTTCTGGACTTCTTAAAGTTGATGGGCTCTTGCTTTTAACAGTGTACTGGTTAAGGTCTAAAAACATGATCAAATATGAGAAAATAGTTAGCAGATAGTCAAAAAGGTGTAATACAGTACGAGGGTGTGAATGACGGTCCCTGAATGTTAATTGTCAACTAAAATCATGAATTCTCACCTGTCAGGAAGATACTTTGTAAGATCTTAGATAATTTGTCTACGATCGGTTAAGACTTAAGATATTTTATTATTTATCAGTCAAAAATACAGAAAAAACAGTAGTAATCAATTACATCCATTTAAATTTTCCAATAAAAATAGCTGACTAGAATGATCTCTTCAATTAAAATATTGGTGACAACGCTATTTTAGACACCCCACTTTATCTTACTTACCTGACTGAAATTCAGGACTTGTCGTTTCACCCAATTGCCAGCCACAAAATCCAGTGTCAAATGTACAGTTGAAACTTCCACTGGCTAAATTTAAAAATCGACAAGAAAAATTAAGTAACTGAAATTCCTATAAACGATATGGAGGGCCTGATGAGGTAAAATTGTACTGAGGTTTGCCTATTTTTGGGCTTGGAAAATGGGGTTTGGGTTACTGCATGGGACTATGAACGATAGATATACAAAAAATAAGAATAGAAAAACCTATATGTCATTATAAAGACATGCATGGTTGTACAGTAGTTTGGAGATTTCAAAGCGAAAGCCTACACAGCAATTATTATAGATTGAGAATTTGTCTAAAAAGTCTACGAAAACTGCATTAAACCAACATACGACTCGATGAGATAATTTAATTATCATCGACAACGGTAGCTGATTTATTTATTCCATTTCAAATAAAACAAAAGTTATTCTTTTTAATTGCTACATGTGTTGGAGACTGTTAGTGTTATAGACACGGAATTTTCCAGAACATTCTATAAATATTCTGAATTAATATAAATATAATATCTCAGTCAAACAATGACAACATTCAACAGGGGCCCCAAGCCCCAAACCAAATATACCCCCTCTTCCTCCGTTACGCCATTGGTGCTAATTCAGGGGAAACCAAAACTGACTAGGTCATTTTTTGAATATCGAAAAACTCTATCAGTTGTAAACTTTTCACTTGAGAGATCCAGCAATGATCATTTCGATCCGTCTTCTAAAGGAGTGACAAATAGTATTTGGTATAGAGCCAATATGTTAAACTGGAAACCCTCTTCTTATATTATGCAACTAAGGTGACATTTAATTACACTACTGCATAGACTACATATTGCAAGAATGGACCATTGGACAACGAACAGTCGAACTCCAAATATTGACAGAAAAAAGACACAACTGTGAAATGAAATTATATCTTAAATTTACCTTGAGGTAATTCATCACAAAAGTTATTTTCGAATGATACATCGTCTACCGCAATGCTCGCCTTAACGCCTGGATCTCCGACTTCGCCAAAAATAATGATCTGAAAGAAATTACAATCAATTAATTGATAAAAAAATACCATGATATGTTATTATATATTATACATAAGTGTGTGCCAAATTTTTCCCCTTAAATGACCTAATCAAATCGATATAGGAACAATCATTATGTTGGAAAGAGCGAAATATTACAGTGTAACCAGGGGCGGCGCTAACCTTCTTCGAGTGGGGGGGGGGGTGAGTGATCTTTTGCCGACTGTTGTTTGGTAAATTTGCCGAGTCATTAGCCTATAGTGAGGGTCCCAATCCCATTTTCCACCTGAAATTTTGGCAAAATCCCAGTCCCAGTTGGATTTTTATTAGAAATCCCAGTACGAGTTATTGAAATCCCAGTCAATAAAAAACCCTTTATTTATCGATAGAATAAACAGTTTTAAGACCTTTTAAGCCACCATGTGTGCAAGTGGCGGACACTTTATGAAATATTGGGGGGGCTCGTGCCGAAGGCACGGAAAATTTTTAAATTTGAATCCCGGAAATGGCATTTGCATCATTCTGAGACACGCATAATCAGAAAACCCAAGATTCCGGGCGCCAGAGTATGCCTGTTCGCAGGTAATGCTGTGAATAATATAGTTAACAACAAAAATCATGACTAAAGACACCAAAAACGGATCAAAATTGGGAATCGACTCACATTATTTTAATCCCATTCCCATTTTTGAGGACTCATTTTCCATTCCCAGTGGTCAATTCCCAGTCTCAGCAACCCAAATCCCATTTTCCCAGTAAAAATAGATCAATCCCAGTTCCCATTTTACCCCTTCAGGGCCATCTATAGCAAATGTGCATGTTTAAATGCGCTTTAGTACCCTCTATTAAGTCGGTTTTCCATTAGCGAATTTTTCTGCGCGAGGCGACCTTTTTCCTTTGCAGGCATCCATTTTGCAGCCCTCGAAAAGTCAAAACCGTCAAAATTGAGGTCGGCAAACGAGGGCCGACCTAATCTGACCTAGGTCGGCACATCTCGGCATTTCTTAAAATCTGTTCCACGTCTTGGAGCACTATTAATCACGTATTTACGAATCATTGAGATCGGAATATAATTGGAACGTTACCTCCAGCCGGAAAATTCGAAAGTTGGAGCCAAATTTTAACTCCAGACGCGCGAATTTTGATCTTCAAACATCTAACGTATATACACAATACTCGTCAGTTTTTAAACCTTACACAGTAGTTTGTTCAGTTAATCCGATTCGCTGACATTTTAAAAGCTATCAGCATAAAAATTCTTACTTTGGTTGAATTAAGGTGGGCAAAAATTTGCATTTAGCCCGGCATTGCCGAATGCCGACCTCGTTTTCGAGGACTGATTCTGCCACGTCTTGCTGACGTAATAAGTGATACC